ATATAGCAGTGAATGGTAAACAACTAGGACTGCACATGCTTGCGGAACATAAATTTCAACCTCAACATCCTGCCATAATTATTCAAGCAGAACAATTTATTATTAGAGTGAAAAAGTCTCTCGATGAATTAGATTCTTACTTTAATTTAGATTCTTACAGTAGCACAAATGGTACATACAATATTCCAAACGTGAGGACGTACGAATGCTTTCATTGTAGATTTCACTCTGCCATACACAAGGAACTTTATCTGCATAACCGAAAAATGCATCAAAAGACAATCTTGATCTGTATAATGTGTAAATCCACTTTTTATAGTTATAGCGAACTACTTTGTCACTTATGTCCTGGAACTTACTCTCCGAATATTAACGTCAGATACAGATGTTGTCTGTGCCCCATGGCAAATCTTCCATCTGCATTTAGATTAATGGTACATTTACGCAAAAGGCATCATGCATGCGACGTTTGTTTGGAATCTACCGGAAATCAACAGCGTCTTTCGAATCACGTTTGGAAACATAAGCTTCATCATTTATGTTATAGATGTGGTATTGCATACAGAAATAAACCAGACATTACCAAACATCTATTTTGGAAGCATGGAACGGAAAGCGTACTGTGTAAAAAGTGTTTACAGAAAAAGTGGCCGCATATTTATCACTTTTGTATACCACCCACGGCTTTCGTTTGCGAAGAATGTGGTTCTAGTTTTTCACGAGCCGTCGCTTTAAAAGTGCATAAAAGGTTACATTCCGGAGATCATCCGTATGCTTGTAGCGAGTGCTCGGAGCGTTTCATTTCTCGAAAACTGTTAGACAAGCATGAAAACGCCCATAAAGAACCACCACCAGTTAGCACAAATTTGATGGACACGGTGAGTCAACAACCACTGATCAACGAGGAAAAATCAGAGAAAGAAAAAGTAGGCATAAGCGATGGTAATGTGTCTGCAACCGAGTTGGTGAAAGATATTAAAGAACCTGTGAAAAAGGTCGTTGACGTCTACGACTTGCCACCTTTGAATTTATCTTCGGAAAGTGATACGGATTCCGAGGAGGAGAAACCAGAGATCAAGGAACCGGAGAACACGGAAAAAGTTAAATCAAACGAAGAAAATGCACCATCTTCCGCGAATCAACCAAATTTCACTTCCTCCGAGGCTGTTGCAGACAGCATAGTAGAGGTTGAACAGAACGAGGAAGAGAAAGAACAAGGAGCGCAAATCATGGATGGTATCTGGGATAATTTTAAGAGCTATACAGCTAGTTTAGAAATGAAAGAGACGGCTAATAATTTTGCGATCAAAGAACCAGAGCCAGAAACCGACGTAGCATTCTTAAGAAGTATAGTATTAGCTGATCACGATTATTGCGTCGTGTGGTCAGACAAAGAAAAGGATAAAGATGCAACGTCCAAGGTGAACGAGAAAGAGGAGATAAACACAAGCGGGGACCAAGATTACTTAAACAAGGTGGAGAAGAGTTCGGTGGAGGGTAACGAAGTTCAAAACAGCAACGAGGACGATCCGAATAAGAAAAAAGCGAAAAGTCCGAAGAAAAAGAAGCAAAGTGGTGGAAGTACATCATCGAGTGATTCGTCTAGCGACAGCGATTCAAGCACTTGTTCCTGTGGGACAAATTGTAGCTGTAGCAGTTCGTCATCCGGTAGTTCTTCTAGTTCTAGTAGTAGTTCGGATTCGGACAGCTCCACTTCGGAAGGTTCTCCAAAGAAACAATCTAATCGGAAGGAACGAAAGAAAGAGAAAGAAAGTACACAGGAGCCGGAGACTGGATATACCGAATTGGAGAACAAAGAGATTTCTGTGGGAACGAAGAATGGATCTGCATCGGTTCCGGTAGAACCAGTTTGCCCGCCACAGCTCTTACTGAGAGAGTCCGATTTAGAAACCGAGGAAACAGAAACAGACGAAGACTTTTACGACGAGCACCCTCAACAGCTTGCGAACAAATTGCTCGCGGAGAAACGAAATCAGTTGATGCTTCTAGCCGCGGTTGCCCCTGCATCCACGGAGTCAGCGATGCCATTGAATAACGGATTAACAGATAGGGACACAACGGTCCCTTCTCCAGATATTCCTCCCACCACGGAGGAAGATCAACCGCAGCAACAGCAGCAGTCGCAGAAGAAGAAAGTGAAAACGAAGAAACGAAAGAAAGGAGAGAAGACGAAACAGCGTAACGTGACGCCAACCGTCGAGTCCATTAAACTAAACATTCCTAAAGCGTTTTACCAAAAGAACCCGGGTTATTCGGCCTCGTCGCCAGTGTTGATGCAATCGAACATGTCGTTGATGTCGAACGTGTCTACGAACGATGTGCACTCGATGAACGCGAGTGTCGAATCCCAAGCGATGGTTATAACAGGTCAAAGTATCGGTGGCAGCGGTTCCGAGGCAGAGAACAAACGGTCATCGAAACGAAAACGAGTACCAAAACGATTTTATGGTGATTCCAGTGATGACGAGGCGGAGAAACAGCCGACGGTGAAGTGGAGAAAGGTAGAGACGACGCCTTCTTTCACTACAGTGCCAAGCGTGAAGCCATTGCCACCAAGATTGTCTATTGGCGGTAAGAATATGGCGTATAGACCGATCGAGAGACAATCGGAGAGTCTAGGAATCGCTACAGCTTCTGCGACCGAATCGGAGGAACCTGCTGATAGTAGCAGCGATTCCAGCGATACCGAGGTAGAAGCCAGCCAACAGATGCAGATGCATCTGTCGGAGAGTAATCCGCCAGCCCCGGAACGACCAGTTAATTTATATTGCTATTGTCAGTGCCCATACGATGAAGTGTCAGAAATGATAGCTTGCGATGCCGAGGATTGTCGCATCGAATGGTTTCACTTCGAGTGTGTCGGCATTATGGTACCGCCGAAAGGCAAGTGGTATTGTCCAGACTGTCGAAAAAAGCACGGTATTGTGCAAAACAGCGAGGACTATTTCGACTGATAGCAGCGGATGGTATCTTGAATGCGTGTGGAAATTTCTATCTAGGCATATTTGATAATGGGTGTTTGAGTTTCTCTCTCTCTCTCTCTCTCTCTCTCCCTCTCCCCTCCTCTCTTTCGTTTTCTTTTCCCTCGCCCTTTCTCCCTTTATCTATCTATCCGTCTATACCTACGTGTCTATCTCCTTTTCTGTTTTTTAAAAGTTTTTAAGTAATTTAACGAGAATACGTTCGAGGTGCTTCGAATATCGTTTGAAATGTAAAACGCTTGCTTTATCGTCTCTTATTTATCAGTTTGACGAATTCTATGGAACCTTGGTACATTATAAATTTTTAAAAACATATGATACATTCTAAAAATACTAGATCTGTATTAAACGTCTTTTTATGTGAACAAATGGTTACAGGAATTATCTTATTTCGAAGTCGAAAATAGTTTTTAAAAATCTCACATAATAATCATGTAAACAGGATGTATTGGAACAGTCTTGATTTATTATTCGCGAATATAGCACGAATTTACACACAATGATAGAAGAAAGAGAGGGAGAGGGAGGGTAGGGCGGTAAAGAGAGAGTGTGTGTATGTGAGAGACAGAGGGAGAGGGAGAGAAAGAGAGAGAGAGAGAGAGAGAGAGAATTGAATGTCTACTACTATTCCCAACGTTTTCTTTCTTTCTTCTTGGTAAGCAAACGAATCCATACACTGTTCCACGTTGATATTTTTCTTAAGCCGATACGATAATGGAAAGAAAAAAAAGAACAAAAAATGTTTGTATATAATTGTAAATACGTCTTAGAGTTTATAACAAGGAAGTAAGGTTTTTTGTGTACATTTGTTTGTACTTCTTTTAAATGACAAAAAAGTGCGCAATGTATAAATTTAGTGTAGCCGAATAGGCAAGTAATAGCGTTCTAGAACGAAATTCTAGGCTACATCATAGAAAAATTCTCGAAGCCTAGTGTGAGAGGGGAGGGCTGTGTTTTCATGAATTCAACAACGTTTTCTTTCTTTCTTCTTGGTAAGCAAACGAATCCATACACTGTTCCACGTTGATATTTTTCTTAAGCCGATACGATAATGGAAAGAAAAAAAAGAACAAAAAATGTTTGTATATAATTGTAAATACGTCTTAGAGTTTATAACAAGGAAGTAAGGTTTTTTGTGTACATTTGTTTGTACTTCTTTTAAATGACAAAAAAGTGCGCAATGTATAAATTTAGTGTAGCCGAATAGGCAAGTAATAGCGTTCTAGAACGAAATTCTAGGCTACATCATAGAAAAATTCTCGAAGCCTAGTGTGAGAGGGGAGGGCTGTGTTTTCATGAATTCAAAATTGCGATAATCGCGGCTGATTGTCGGCACTGCTGGCGGTGTCTGTGCCCCCGTTAAAACTATCGAATATTTTCGATAAACACCATTCTATTTCGACAATCGGCTCAAAATACTGTTCTCGCTCGGACCACTACCATTTTGTTCCTTTTTCCTTTCTTTGTTCTTCTTCCCTCTATTTTTTTTTTTTTTTTTTTTTTTTAAATCGCTTGAATTTTTCAAATTTTTACAATTATACGCGTTGAGACTTCTGTTACTTTCCCTCGCTCATCTTTCCTCCATTTTTAATAGTATATCGTGGAAAGTAAAGCTTCCACGATAAGATTTCTGTCGTTTCGTCACGCTTCATGTTTTAGAATAATGAACGAGTTAACGAGCGGATCTTTTATCGTTTTCTAGTCTAGTTCTTACTTGTTTTTCATAATAGCTCTTCTGCCGACAAACATTTTCCGGATGATTGTACAACTGTAGGTACTTTATTCAAATTAGTTAGTAGAACGCTTGAAATTTCTCTCGATCATCTTTCATTGTGCAATGTGTCTTGGTTCATCAAAATCCGGTGAAATGTAAGTGAGCGATGAAATACGAGCGAAGAATTGGCGTATCGACTATGTATTTCTGACCGAAAAAATGTTCCGTTTGTCGAGAATTATTAATTTTGAAATGGTATTTGACTATCGAGCTCGTATTTATTATTAATTATATTAAAATTATTTTATTTTGTACACGAAATCAGCCGTAATTTAATCTACCAGTGTAAGAGAAAAAAAGAAAAGAAAGTAAAGTATCATCGGTCAGAGTTGATGGAAAAGGAAGATACCTGTTTACTGATTGAACTTATCCTCGTCTCCTTCGTACTCTCTGACCAATTTCATCATTGAACAAAATTCGTAACTGAGTCTGTTAATCGGTAAAACGATTTTGATTTCCTTTTTAACGCTTTAAGAAAGAATCGAATTGACATAATATACGTTAATGTTCATGTACATGTTTAATAGGAAGTCGCAATACATTGTAATGGTAATAATATTAGTATGGTAATAATAATCGACGTTAATGTGCCAGCAATGCAAATAATGGCACACAGATTAATTAATCATCGTCAGCCCTCGTTTCCTCCGGCAATTCAATACCCATGATGTCCGCGATGAAATCTTTGTAAGATATTCTCTGTATTATAAATAATAATACATTACTTTCGGCGAGCCTAAATGATTATTTTCCTGTTTCTCATCGTTAATACCATTCAACGTTTCAACATTTCCATGTTTATGCCAGCTTTTATTGTAAAGAATAGTATAGCGAATTGATAATCATGCTTGTTTCGCATTTGCTTGTGCATGTTTTTAACGAGGATACTTATTTTAAGAAACTTAAGAATTGTTATAAAAAAACAATTTTAAACAAACTTAAGTATCGAAGGTTTTTTAGTTTTTTATCGGTTTTATCGTTTTACAGCGCTTATTACAGCGCTTCAATTTACGGTTGAAAAAATATTAAATTCATAGTTCGCGTATCATAGTTCGATACTTTTTTACGCTATCCTCGACTTAATAAATTTTCTTTCTTAAAAGATATGTATATAAATACTTAAACAGACGTGTAAGGTCCATTGGCTTTGTATACTCATCGATTTTTCTTAATAAGAAAATGAAGTGTGAAGGTAATTTTTTATATAAAAAGATACTATCGTAATATAAATACAATAATTAAAATATAATACATTTTTCTGAATGTAAGAAGAGACATCTCTATGATACAAGAGATAGAAAATAGTAATACGCGAATAACGACCAATATAAAGTATCGTGCGATGTAATTTCATTCATCACAAATGCTTTATGCGTTGGAATATATGTAACGTGTACTATTGTTATTATTGACAAAGAATGAAGCGCCGTAGTTTTGCAAACTTAAATAAGTATCCATCTATTTTTTAACTCATAATATAAGAAAAATTCAAACTTATCTTAATTGTTAAATATACCTCTGGTAAGAACGTAAAATCAAAGGATGCGGATTTTTTTTCGTTTCGTTCATTATATATTTCATCCAAATTCTCGTTAAAACCAACAAGAAACCTCATGTATGCAAATGCCTCTTGAATTTTTAATGGTTCTCCTAGAAAAAAAAAACTTGCTTGAAGTTGAAATTACAATTAACATTCGAAGCACAAGCGTGAATAACATGTTGGACGTTTCCAAAAAAATATATCAACTAACCAAAAGGTATGCCATTTTGTATAGAAAACTCAGGAGGACCTTCGCCAAGCAATATTCTCATAAACTGTTCTCGAGTTAATGCTGGATTCTCCGCTTGCGAAGCGGGCATTTGATCTGAATTTGCAAAGACTTGGAAAGCTTCTTGTATTTGATGCAGAGAAATTCCGAAAGCTGGCCGATGATTTATATAAAATTTGACAAAATCTTCGAATTTAATTTCTTCGACCAAATGACCGGTCTCCGCGTAATCTCTGTACGAGATTTCACCCATAAGGATTTCTATCTAAAATGTAAAATGACTTTACATTAAAAAAGAATAACTAGAACAGGAAATGAAATTTTCCATCTATTCAATTAAATAATTAAATAAATAAAAAGTAAAATCATTACCTCCTCGTTGCTGGGATAATATCCAACGGCGCGCATGAGATTCGGTACTTCTTTAGTGCTCACTTTGTCGGATATTAATCTGGGAGTTATTACATTCTCGCCTTGATGTAAGATTTGAGCATAATAAAACAGGTGTTTCATTTCATTGATAAGCCAACCTTTTTCACCGCCATCTATCAGACAATAGTACGGTGCAAGCCCTTTACCTCCTAAATGCGCTAATACATCGACAGACCTGATTATAAGAAAGACATATGATATGGTATTGTAAAAACTATATTGTATAGTAGTGAATGTAGTAAGTAGCGATATTAAACGGTAGGAGCAGTAAAAATATCAATTAAAAGCGACTGTGTTAAAGGAAAGGAGAAACGTACGAAATATTTTTACAACGAAAGCTTCGGGTATTATATATTTGCTTCTTAAACGATAAACGACTATTAGTATATCGAAGAAAACGATGTTCTTCTTCTTTCAATTACAGTACAAAGTGGAATTATTCGATTTCTAAGAATTGCTAAGAGGTACCTGCATTTTATTTTCCACATCAGTGTGCACGGATCATTATGACCAAAAGTGAATAGAATGTTCCCATCATTGCTAAGGCAAATATTACTGACCTATTAAAACCAGACTTTGAAATAGATCAAAATACCTCAAATATGTACAGAACGTCTTGTAATATGTGGTCGTTTAAGGAATTGTTTCACGTTTTCCGTGAATGTGAGATATCAAAAAAGAGCAGAAAACTCACCCTATCTCGTGAACAAAATCAAATGGAATATATTATTTATATATGAATTTATCTTGTAATTTGAAGGTGCTGAATATGTTCCTAATGTTGATCCCACACAGTACGAGACACTCTTTATATATAGCGATATATCAAAATCAGCGAAAAATTAGCTTTTATCATAAATTCATATCCAGGATCGATAGATTTTTTCGTATTACGATGTAACGTAGTAAAACAATCGTGTACATTGTACACGACGCTTCTTACCTTGCGTGGGTGCCCTATCATTCCTAAAGTCTTGTAAGGATTCCCATCGAAAGGAAGTATTTGAAGACCTATTTCCTTATTAGTTGCAAATACCATGTATTTACCAGCTTTATATTCTTTGCCAGATATTACCTGCACAACGATCATTTTAATTAAGTATAAAATAATAATTTCCTATGAACACAAAGAATCAAAATTTATACGATTCTACGTTACTTTGAAATGCTTAACCGGAGTATCGCAAAGCGGTCCCAAAAATGTTCCTCGAATTGTTTTCATTATATCGTTTAGCAATCTGTATTTGTACTAGATAATAAACGTTATAGATAATGTTACACGTAAATACTGTATGAAATGCATCGTCTTCTTGTCTAACTTAATTACGTATGCAGTAATATACTTGTGTATGTATACAAAGGATCCTGTGTATTTTGGAAATTGGTGATACAACCAACAAAAGAGCGATTTCGTGGTACGATGAAATAAGTCGAAAGTATATGATAAAATTTTATCGTATTATCTCGAAACTTTGTTTTCGATAATATAATACCTCTACTTTCTCGATCGTAATATCAATTACGAGGTGTATGTACTATGTATACATACATACATATATATATGAATATATAGATGTCAGATAGATTCGATATGAAAAATATTTCGGGTAAAAAATCTTATCTCAGTTTTAATTTAACGTTCCGAATTGTAGAATCAGTTAAAAGATAACCGGATTATTACTTCGGAATTAGAGTACATCAGAAATCCTTCGACGCCCAACTTAGGGTACCAGGCGAGGCAAAGAGGAATAGCTTCACATTCAATTTGGTAAGTGTTCATTATCTGCAAACCAGGGAAAGGATATGGCCCACTGTAAAATGCGGAGAATTTCTAGAGTTTAATTGCACGTTATATGTATTTTTCTCTGTTATTTGAAACATCTGATTTACCTATTTTTAAGATCGTACTCAATTAGGTTGCGATCTTCTCCTACCGAAAAAAAACGATATACAACGCTCTCGATAGTAGCTGGCCCGAAAAGTATATCTCTTATTTTTGCAGTATGAGAATGATACTTTCCAATAAAATCCCATAAACAGGAACCGCTTGGCGAATCATCTATTCTTTTAAATACCGCTACCACTAGTGCGTTATCCTGAAAGAAGGTAAAAGGCTGCTTTTCGCCTTATGTCATAACGATCATAAAGAAAATTTCATTTTCGATTAAATTGTTTAACGATAGATGCGATATTAGTTTACGGTTCGACGATACTGCTTATTTACCGCATAAGCCATGTATTCTTCGCACTCTGTGAAAGCCAATTTAAGTATCGATTCCGTGGAATGTTTGTAAGGATTTTTATCAAGAGGTTCTAAAGTGAGAGGATGCAACATCCAAAGGGCTCCATTTTCAAGGCCACACGCCAGTAAATTACCTTCAAAATCATTGAAACGTTGAAAATCGTTCGGTCTGTAATTTGAAAATATCACGAAAAATCATAGTTGACGAAAGATTCACCTATCGGGGAATATTTCAATGCTGTAACAGCGATTAGTTTCTCGTGGCTCTGTGGGCATGTGACATAAGTTATAGCTCCTTTCTTTGCTTGCTTATCCAATAGTATATTAAAATCTGGAAGAGGTGGGGTTTTCCTGCGTACGATACGCTTATGTCTCTCATAATCGTATAAAGAGACGAAACCTTGTAGATTACCGGTGACTATAAAATTGCTAACGAATGAAAGGACGGTGTTACGAAGAAGTATAATTTTATGAAGATTAAACTATATATACTACGCCGTAAAAAACAGATCTAACTAGAAGTTGATCAAACTCCATTAGTGTAAATACCTTCGAGGATGCGCGTCTAAACTGGTTATCGCAAAGTTCTGATCTTGAAAGATAAATCGACACTTTAACGTAGGAATTTCTATCAACGCAACTATTCCACTCAAACAACCTTTACGAAAAATATTACAAAACTTTTGGATATGAATTCCATTTAATATTAATTTTCTGAAAACCTTGCCAGATTATTTAATGCCGTGAAAAAATCTATGCTGTATATGCTCTTTCAAAGAGCAAGTGTACAAAAATGTAATAGCACTTACCGATAATGAAATTTTCGATATAAAAAGGAGCACCTTCGACAGTAACATCGGTAGGCGCGTGAGGTAATTTTGTAAATGCTTGCTGATCTTTATTGTAATTCTTCAATGTTTCTTCCAAATGTACAGACATCGTCGATGGAACTTGATCACGATACTTCATCGATTCTATTTTTTCTATATATTTCATTTTTCTCTCGTTAATATTATCTCCTAATTTAATTTCCGAGTATTCTTCCATTTCTTCTTCGTTCTCGAAATCTTCTTCTTCGTCAGATTCGACTGCAAGATAAAGTGTGATCATTTTTTGCTTTTATTTTTTATATTATTTACGTTATTAAATTCTTCGAGTGAGAAGATAATAGCTAATCGAGTTGATTGCATTTGAACGTAATCACCGATATTGGTAACCGATAGATGACTAGACAGATGATTTTTACCATAAATAGTTTACGTTCGAGGGAAACTACCTGCCTACCTAATCGAATGACTAATTGCAAGTCGTTGTTATTACAAGTGGTGATGTAATTATGCCGTAATGACCGAAGCAGGATATAGTATGATTAAAAATCGAATAATTTCAACTTCGAATTCATATCCTTCGGATTAATACTATCTCGGAATTTTGGAAATAGAAGATATTCCGTAATAGCAATAAATATCGAACTCACGTTTAAATTCACCGACCGCAGATCCAGGAGCTAATAACGTGGACGAAAGATCGAAACTTATCGATCGAATAGAATCCAAAAGTTTATGTTGACACCAGTAGAGTATTTTTAAATCAAGATCGTAAAAGCTGATGCGCCCTTCTGACGTTCCTGTTACTATCCTTCTAAAATCGTACGTGTAATACAAATTTCGATAATACTGTATTTACAAAAATAAGAAAACTTTATTTACAACTGGAAAATTATGCTTGTAATAACTCGATTACTAGTCGTAACTTAAAGTAAGTAATATAACATATATAGGATGTTTACGATATCAATTGTCAATATTTTCTTCGAATTAACAATGACAAACCGAATAAATCTTTAACCGGAAATAGTATATCGTATGACGTATATTTTGTACATCTCTAATATTGGAAAATATCAAGTACCCATCGTGACATAATATCACCATAATACTGTTCTTCTCTAACTGCACAGACTTGATGTGTCTCTTTTCCTTGTTGTTAACTGCACTCTGATCTTTACTCTTATTTTTCTGTCTTTCAACAAAAGCGCCCCAAACCAGAACGTATCCTACACATAAATATCGAATATCAATCTTTATAACAAAGATCAAATTGCAAGTTGCAATCTTCACATATAGGTAGATTATATATAAGTATGTGTAATAACTTTGCGAGAGCATAAACAAAATGGAATAACAAGTATAAAGAAGATGTGAAAACAATACCGTTTGTCGTTGCCGTTAATACCCGTTGTGTTTTAGGAATGTAACAAGAGCAATTCAAGATCCCGTATCGTCGTACGTTACCCAAAATTTTTGGTATGTAATATTTCAATTCATCTTGCTCCTAATTCGCAAAAATGATCATTATCTATATCTAGATGTATTATATATTTCGCTGTTGAATTGTATCGAATCGCGAAGGTCGGTTCGTCGAAATTCTTACGAAACTTGTAAAACTTGCGTGTACGCGCGCGCGCAAAAGCTAACATATGTACATATATAATAAAAAAATTGTAATTTAAGGCAACGTTGTAGGTGTTAGATATTTGTAAATACGTTTTGATTTCACGGTACTTCGTTCTATTTAGGATGGACTACCTCGCGATCTAAGGAATAATTTCCTGTTCCCTCGTTAATATCTCGTTGTTTGCTTTCTATCTGACCGCGAAATGGAAAAATATCGCAAATGATGCAATGGCAGAGCCAACTTTGACATCGCTTTTCACGAGAACAGTCGAGTTCCGGCCCACGGTTCGTTTTGCGGAGTTGACCCTCGTGACGTGAGTAAAATACGATGCAACCGGAAAGAAAGTTTAACCCTGAATTTCAAGGTCGATTCTGCGACAACCTTTTTCGATAAATCTCCACCGATCTAGAGATGTAGAATCACGCTTTTGTGATTCGGTCACTTATTTTTTATACACGCTGTACATTATACTGACCCATTTAAGGAACGCAACGCAGTAATCGGCAGTTAGACCAAACTCCTCGGAACAGTCTTCGTTGAAAGCTATTTCCTTTATTCTATTTGAAAAAAGTTCAGTTAACTCCGTAAAAGCTGAAAATAATTTGCTTCTGAGAACTGCCATTAGAGGTATTAATACGCGTTCTATTTTAAACAGCAAACTAACGAATTTTTAAACGGAAATGAATAACAAAAATTTTGGCGATAATATTAAAGTTATTCTAACGTGATATTCTTTACGTAAAAGTTAAATAAGACTGGTAAATAATACTAATGATTAACCATCAGGTTGATCTTTCCCATACGTCCATAGCCAAAACTGAACTTTTTGGTGAAATTCGTTTCCAACAGTTACTATATACTTAGCGTTTGGGCTAATTTTAGCAGCGGTCATTCCTTTATCACCATGCGGATTAAATAAAGTCGAAATTGGTACACTGCAATAACAATAGCAATAGCAACTACAAATATGTTACATTTTTTCAAGTATTTGATGTCATATTCGACGTTTGATTTGTGTATTTTATTTATAATATACACGATGTTTCGTAATAAACGGCCAATTATTTAAGCACCTAAAAGCAATAAAAAAGAGTCCATATCTTTTTTTCGCTTCAATTCTCTTTCTTCGTACGATGGATTTCAAGTATCCTCGTAAACAAAAGTCGTTTTGAACATCTCGTACGAGGGTAATCAGATATGATCAGAAACGATGGAAAGTAAAATTTGCTATATTTTTTAAACAAGATCAAATAGGACATACATTGATACGAACCTTTTTTTATTGTTTTTTTTTTTTTGGTGCTAGATCCGCCTCTTAAACTGGGTTGTCCACTTATTATGGAACATCCTGTATGCGATACCTCCTGTAACGTCACTTATCTTCCCGATAAGAGAACCTGTTTGAATTTCGCTCCCTCACCTTTTCTGGTTCTTACTCATAACTTAATTCTAGCTGTTGCACAATGCGCCGTAATAGTCGACGCGCAAGTAAAAAACAGAGACGTGAAAAGATACGTTTTTCGCTGGTTGTGAAACGTGCCCTCCTTCTCCCACCCTAGCTTCCTCTCCATTAGTTTCTAATTAGTAGCAAAAGAAAAGAAAAAAATTGGGCCAATTTTTTTCATCGCATTTCCAAATTTCATTACCCAGTTTCGGTGTCCCAAACGACAGTTACACAATCTTTCTCAAAATCTGCGGACATCAACCATTTTCCATCCTTCGATGTCGATAAAGTTTTCACCGTATTCTTCTATAAAGTTAACGCACGAACAAGTCACGTATGAAAATGCAAATATAATAGGCAAAAGATCAATACATACATGACCTTGAAGACTTATCGCGTTTTTCGTCTTATAGTTGTAGATTATTATAGCATGCGAACAAGCATAAGCGATGATCGTACGATTTTTTGTGGTTAAATTTATTATAGGTGTATCTGAATTTGTCCCAAAAGACCATAATAATTCCTGTATTTAAAAACGTTATATATAGATAAATTCCATTTTTAACGGTACATATATCTTTACGTATACAATATATATATTATATATACGTATCATTAAGGGTTGTTTTTAGGTTAGTTGCAATATGTATTATAATATTAAACAGCTTTTTAAAAGATTTCAGTTTCTCGATCTTCTTAAAAGAAATTTAGATATAACTATGTAAATCCATCGCTTACAAAAGGACAAAGATTAAAATCAGTTTCTTCCTTTTCGTAAGGTGCCCTTATGTTGGTCTTTCTTTCACTTTTAGAATCCGTTGATTCCTTGGAGCGCGATGGTATCGAAACATTCGCTGCCATTTTAATTGATTCGCGTCTTAGAAGTTTTCAATTTACGACCTGAAATTAGCAAATGATTCACCCAACAGTTTTTACGCGTATAAGCATATCGCGAATATTATAGAGACCACCGCAACAAAAGAATAGCACACCTTGAAAATTTCTTAATTTTTATGCTATAAATTATGAATATTTAATTTTTAATACGTACGTGCGTTTTCTACATAAATTTTTGTCACGTAGATATGAAGTGTTAGTTTTTTTTATCTGTAAAAACAGAAATATCGCGTCAATAGCGCATTATTTAAAATCATGGAAATGATATTTTGTACAGCCGCCAGAATTTACTATTTAGATTTAATAAAAGGTCTTAAAATTTCCTTCGATTTATTTTTTCTCATTATATTCTTTCAATTCATTTATGCTATTGAACTGTCTGCCCTTAGTATAAACAACTGTAGCTATAGTTTTCTGTTATATGTATTTTACTTGTAATTATACATATTTTAAAAAACCTTCGACTACCTTGGGACCTTGAAAAATAAAACATTGAGAAATTTCGTTCCTATCGTTATCGTTTTTTTCCTATCATTTTGCCCCTTCGAACCAAATATCGTTTTCCTCTGACATCTGTTCCTATCATAAAAAATAAGTGAGATATTTAAGATGCCCAAGTTAGGTGGGACACCTGCTATACGTTCTATACAGTTTTATACGCTCTATACATTTTGAATTTTCTATAAAAGCTTCAATCTTCGCTGCTTAATTATTATTATTATCGTCACGTGATAAATAAGAAAATGTTACATATGGTTATCTATTGGATAGCTAACAGAGTTTATGCTGTCTTTTTATGAATTTTCATATTGGTTACAGAGAAAGGTCAAGTGACATCGGCTTCGTTATCAATCTCGCTGAAGTTACTGCTATGTCAAGAAGTCATTAAACCGTTTCAGTTCCTGATTAGTCGAAGAAGCTTCTAACGTATGCAAACATTGGGGATCATTTTAATAAAGTTCTAAACAAATATTTATATTTCTTTGGTGTTTGATCACTGTTCAACGAAATAAGTTAAATATAAATTATAATTATTAAGTTTTGTGAAGGCAGTGCATTCATGGAGTTATCTTACATTATCTTCTCTGTCTTTCTTGTCGTGGGAAAATATGATTCAGCACCTGTTTATTCGAACATTAATACTATTTCGCCATCTTTGTCTGCGGTAGGTGAAAAGAAATTTAATTTTACGAAGAAAATTTCCTATTAGATATCTTATTACGAATCAAACGAATTAGATTTCTAGAAAAATAAGTTTTTGTATCTCAAAATACGCATATTCTGATGTAGATAACACAGATGCTTATAATCTTTTGTTATATTCTCTGAATTATATTCGTGCGATCGAAAACGTAACTATTATTCTTTCTTTTTATATCGGCGTACGATGTTATAGTGCCAAGTAGAAAACAGAAAATCCGATAGAACGTACAAATAAAGATTTTGGCGAATGAGTTCAACCGAGTTCATATATGTATATATAAATATTATAACGTTTTATGTTCACTAGACAAAAATAAAAATACCACTCTGATTAACTACAAAATATCAAAATATCGCGATTTATTCACGAAACTTTGTGAATAATTTTCTAGATAAATTTTATGAAGGAGTATGGGTACTTGGAAAGTGGTACAGCTGACTCGGATGCGTTATACGAGAAAAATGCCATAACAAACGCAGTAAAAGCTTTACAAGAATTTGGCAATATCCCAGTTACTGGGCAACTGGATAACACGACGCTTAAGGTGCATTTTTTTGTCTCTTGACTATCGTATTTAACACTATACTTATTCAGCTGAATGGGATCACCTGAATATCTGTTTTATTTATTCTTGTACGAGAGAACTTCTCAAGATCAAGTTACAGTATTTCAACAGCCCCGTGCAAATGGGATGGAAATAGTGATTTCTCACTTTTTTGCTTTTTTGCAAGATTTTGAGATTATCAGCTTTTTTTATAATAGAACTAGAATATATGTATTTATTCCTTGATATTCTTGTAGAGCGTGAAAAAATATATCTGGGCTCGAGTGAAAGTTTAGAACTTAATGAATTAATTGTAATTAGTTTTATCTAAACAGTCTCCGTGGTTTCTTAGTTATAGGCTAATTTAACGAATAATTTAATATATATCGTTTTTATTTACTTATTTATGTACACATGTATTAACTCTTTTAGTACCAGCCAGCCGATATATCAACTGCGTTTATTTACGTTCAGACTCATGAACTCGAGAATTCGAGACGCGCTTAATTAACCACTTACTTACTTATGTATTCATCAAAATAGCTTTGACATTTTTCGCATGTACACCACGTTTTGAGTTAATTGCGAGAGCTGACGATATAAGCGTTAAACCTGCTACTATCAAGCAATTAATTTTATATATGAAAAATAATTATAAAACTCAATTGTTTCTGGTGTTTTAATTAAAATTTCTTTTATTTCCTATATTATTTAAAATATTTTTTTAACGAGTGTAAAATGTTACTTTTGTAAGTTTTCATTTAGAGGAAACTGTTATAGTTAATGGCATCTCCACGATGTGGTGTTCCTGATATTTTAAGGAAAAGGAAAAATCTACAACGTAACAAGCGTTTCGTAATAGGATCGAAAGGTTGGAAAACGAGAAACATCACATACTTGTATGTACCTAAAAAAATCTAATAATGAAGCACAACAGCTTATCTTCCATCTTCATATATTACGTTCATTACGTGTATCTATTAATACGTGTATCACAAATAGTATAACTAACTGGACACCAAAGGTGGGAGAAGAAATGATTACATCTGAAATTGGAAGGACTTTGAACACATGGAGCGGATATTCAAGACTTAATTTTAAGCCGATTCATAATCCACACCGTGAGATTATCACTGCTTTTAATCGAAAATCTCACAATGAAGAATTAGTGCTACAAAATAAAAAAAAATAAAACTTATTAAAATTGTCAATCTTTTTACGTGTGTCGATGACCTTAGAATAACATTCAAGTCGACCATGCATAAAATTTTATCATCATCTTAGTCATCTTTTTTTATCTTCCGTAGCAGTAGAAATAATTTAACTGTCCATGCTAATAAGATTTAAAAGTGAATGCAGCGAGAAAAGAACGATTTAAAATTCTTTTACTTCTGATGTCAATATTTTTCAAACTACATGTTGACGACTCTAATAATATTTTATAATTAGCAACTCGATGATTTTTAAATACAATTTAATATATCACGTAATTAATTATTAATCGTTGCATTATTTGTTTTTTGTAGATTTTAAATTAAAAATTGTAGATATTAAAATTAAAAATCGTTACCTACTAGTAACTTCAAAATTTTGATTTTCTTATGAATGATTTATTATGTAAAATTTTATGTTTTCGTATGTTATCGAATAAATTATTGACGTATATATATTTTCATATTTATTTACTTTCCTTCGAATGTATACAGAATAATATACTGATATTTGAAAAAACTATGTTTATAAAAGTCACTATAAATATAATAATATAAACTATATTTGCATTAATTTCTAATGCTCCAAAGGAATCAAGTTTTCCATACGGGACGGTGCTCTATAATTTCATGTCGAAAATATAATATCCTACGAATGCTCTCCTACTTGCACTCAGTAAAAAATATTTCCAGTTTAAAGGAATTCCGCTCAGAAAATTAATTCTGGAGCCAATGTTATAAGCATGAAAAACGTTTAACGTCGATCATACTTCGAAATATTCACAAATATTAGCAATGTAACAAGTTTAATATCATATATGTTTAACTGCAACAACTTTGTGGCTTAGGATCAAGCCCAGAACGTTTAGTTACAGATATACGTGTAAATTCTTCTGCCACTGTTGGATGAATTCCAACGGTATCTTTTAGTTTTGGAAATGTTAAATTACACCTAGAAAAATAAGAAAATAATGAAATAAAAGATAATGATAAAATAACACATTGTTAGTATAGTAAAAAAACTAAATAAATACATACTTTATAGCAGCAGCAAAACCTTGAATCACTTCACCGGCATTAGGACCAATGAAATGCATACCAAGCACTCTCTGATCGCCATTTCTAAATGCAACTACCTTTAAGTAGCAATTAGAAACATCTTTTTGTGGTATAAAGAATTCCGTTGGTTTGTAATATGCATGATAAATTTCTATTTTGTCTTCTCCGTGAATAGCAATCGCTGCTTCTTCGCTAAGACCAACACAACCATATTCTAAAGGACTGAATATTGTTGTTGCAACATTCACGTAATCCATTTGTTCCATTGAGTTTCCGAATAACCTTCTCGCTAATAATCGACCCGCATGTATGGCAACAGGGGTTAATTCTGGCTTTTTCTGTAATACGCAATAAAAACTGTAAATATTTACCTATCTTCACCTTTTAATATTACTTTTCTTACATCGATAACAATAAATCTTAATAAGTTGGAAAAGGAAATTTTTTTTCAAAAGTGAAAAATAAAAATAACACTCACATGAAGCACATCACCAACAGCATATACATTTGGAATATTCGTTCGTTCATCTATTGCGTCTATTTTTGCAGTTTCGGGTACAAGTTTAAGACCGATGTTTTCTGGTTTTAATTCTTCTGTAAGAGGTTTGCGACCTATAGCGAAGAGAACAGTATCGAAAATATCTTGATGTGTTTGTCTATCCTAAAACAAAGAAAATTTATCGCTATATAAATATAACTTGAACATTAATTATATATATATTTTCTTTTTAATTAACAAAATAGAACATACTTTATCTACCCAATGTACAAGAAGCCGACCATCGCTTTGCTTTTCAATTTTTGATGGTTTAGCTTCATAAATAAAGTGTACACCACGTTTCTCCATTTCCTCAGCAACAGTATTTGCCATTTGCTGATCAAACCCACGTAAAACAATTGAACGTACCATTACAGTTGCATCGTAACCCATACTATTCAAGAATCCAGCACACTCCAAACCAATATCTATTCATCCATTAAGGAAA